ATTTATTAAAGTTTTCGAGGTCGTTGATTGTAAATCCAGAAACAGAATTACACAATCAAAATGGCGAATTTAAAAAACCGAATTTGAAATCATTACATAAAGCGTATTATAATTGTCGTTATGTCGAGTTAATTACTCTACAATGACCAATATATATAGGTTTAATGGCATCAGACTGGTACATTATTTGCAATTTTTCAACAAGAAAAGCAAAGAGAAACATATGAAAATTTAAAAATTTTTTATACGAAATAATTTTCTGTAGCTCCGCAATTAGACATGTTTTTCTTGCCACTAAAAAAAAATTGCAAATGTTTTCTTTGCCGTTGAACCAGTAGTCATCGTAGAATATTAGACTCGACATAACGACAATTATGATACGTTTTATATACTGATTTCAAAATTCGAGCATTTTAAATACGCCATTTTTTATTTTGTAATTCTGTTTCTAGATTCGTAACCAAAGACTTTGAAAACTTCATAGTAATTATTTTCAAGCCAATTTCTGAAATTTTCGTATTTCAATTAGAGATACTGTAAGATTATTCGTGATTTCTATGATTTTTAGATGTCATATTTGAGCCGTCATATTGAATTTTTCAAAAGATCACATTCTATTCGAAACTACGAATAAGTATACGAATATTTTAAAACCTCAAACATTTTTTTTCATTGCGTTAAATTTTGAAAGGAGAGGTGGCCCGCTTAACGCGAAACGTCCCATATATATAATGTGAATTAAAGATTTTCAAAACTAATATAGTGACGAGAATGTAGTCTAAGCGTACAAAATATATAGTACAAAACATATTTTAAAAAGTAAATTAAAAATATATTATAAGATAAGAAAATAAAAGTATAAAAGTGTAACGCTAAAAGTAACGGCAATAAAGTTACAAATAGAAAAAAGTAGAGATCGTTACTGAAAAAAGTAATGAAAACGGTAACAGCGATACAAATAACGCGTTACTTCCCAACCCTAGTATTAACTTATCACATATTTCATTCCATTAGATGGGATCATTCCGAAGATTGGTTCATACCGCTCCATAAAGCACAAGAGGTCATGAAATCCAAAGAAAGATATGTCGAAATCTCACTCGACTTTGAAGAATATGATTATATTGATGGTCATGTAATTGATGGAAGAACTTTGCTACCCGCAACGACTTATCTTGTACTCGTTTGGCAAACTATTGGCATGATGAAAAAGCAAATATACACAACAGTACCAATAATATTCCAAGATGTAAAATTTAATCGTGCTACTCATTTATCGAAAAATAATACTGTAGGACTAATGATTGCGATTCAGAACGGTATTTATGGGATGAGTAATTTTAAGGTGGTCTGATAGGAAGGCGCATAATCGAATATATATTAAAATATTACAGATGGGAAGTTCGAAATAACGGAAGGCGACAGCGTTGTTGTGACAGGTATAGTGCAGGAGACATCAAATTTAGAACAAGAAATGATGATAGATCAATTACCCGAGAACAACGATGAAGAAGAACAAATGACCGCACGAGATATCTATAAGGAATTTAAACTACGCGGTTATCAGTATAGCGGCTTGTTTCGCGGATTAAAGAGTGCATCTATTTCAGGCAAAAATGGACATATTATTTGGGCAAACAATTGGGTAACATTTATGGATAACATGTTACAGATGCGTATTATCGGTTATGATACAAGAGATTTATATGTTCCTACGAGTATTCAGAAATTAGTGATCAATCCTGAGCTGCATGCAATAAAGGTACGAGAAATCTACGCTGCCGACTTGGAAGCTACGATAAACGAAGACAAACGTAAATATTCTTCAATTACTAAGAATTGTTTTATATAAATTCATGAACATCGTGTAAAAAAATCTGTTTGACATAATGCGTATCAGTATTAGTTGAATTATTTTGTTTCAGAATTACCAGTCCGAATATACAAAGAGATAGACACGATTGTAGCTGGCGGAATAGAGATTCGAGGACTTAAAGCTTCTCAGATCTTACGCCGAAAATTAGCTCAAGATGCAGTTATCGAAGAACACATATTTGTAGCTCATTGTGATCACGCTAAGGTTTCTTTAAACGAAGCGATTCGAATATCGGCGCAACTCGCATTGGAAGATCACAAAATTGTCAAGGTGAAAGCCATCGAAATAGTGGAAGATGACAATGACGTTCCATTAGAATATCTCTCATCTTCATTACTAATTGAGGCATTTAATGATATGCCATTGATACAAACAAATATCACTCTATTAACATCGCCGAATCGTTTCAATCCATCAGATTTATCACAAGACATTTCAATCGCAGATTTAAACACAGCATATACAGATGACAAAGCTTTAATAGTTGCCGGATTCAATCTTTTGACCAAACGACAGACTTCATTAAAGCGATTGTTGCCATTTTTGAGAGAAGGTGGTTATCTATTGACACGCGAGAAATGCGAAAACATAACTGACTATAAGAAATGCTTGCAGCAATATAAATTAAATGTTATTCTTGAAAAGCGCACAGATAAAGAAATAATTGTGCTTCTGAAGAAGAAAGTTTTGATAGAAAAAGAACTGTTGTCTTCATAAATAATAATAATTTCAATTGGCTGGACGATCTAAAGTCGCTTGTGAGCGATGAAAACAAACTCGAGAAAAGTAGTAGAATTATAATTGTT